TGACTGGGAGAAGTAGTTATGGCGGGAGCTGAGGGGTAGGCCACTCTCGGGGAACTAGGACTTGCTGTCTCAAAGCGATTACTTGTTCCGGTTCACCGGGCTCGCCTCGTATACCTGGTGACTTGGGATGTCAGGGCCCTGGCCTCAGGCTGCTGCTGTTTAATGCCAGGTATGTTGTCAATAAGGCCCCCCCTTGTTCGGGACTTAATCCTGGAGGAGGGGGCTGATCTGGCATGCATAACTGAGATCTGGCTGGGCCAGGAGGGGTGTGTGCCCCTCTCAGAGATGTGCCCAGACAGGTTTCAGATATTGCATCAGCCGTGACTCCAGGGAAGGGGTGGAGGAGTGGCAGCTATTGTCCGGAAGAGTCTTTGCCCTCGCAGGACCCGGCCCCTGAGATTGTTGGGTGTGAGTCTCTCCTCTTGAGGTTGGACTCAGGGGTTCAGTTGGGCTTGTTGCTGACGTACCTGCCTCCCAGCTGCGTTACAACAGCCCTGCCTGTGCTGCTAGAGGTGGTAGCTGGTCTGGCGGTGGAGTTCCCCAGGCTTATGATACTGAGGGACTTAAATTTGCCGTCACTTGGCGAATCCTCAGATGCAGCTCAGGAGTTCATGGCTTCATGACAACCATGGACCTGACCCAAGTAGTTCAGAGTCCGACTCATAGGGGGTGGGGACACACACTTGATGTGGTATTTCTCTCGGGGCAGTGGAGATATGATCTGGAATTAAGGGGTATAGATGCTTCTCCATTGTCATGGTCAGATCATTTCCTGCTGAGGTTAGACTTCAGGATGCTACTCCTCCATTGCAGGGAGGCGGAGCTGATTAAGTGGTTCCACCCCAGGCGTCTAATGGACCCTGAAGGGTTCCAGAAGGAGCTTGGGGAGATACCTGACTCCCTTGTCCACAGTCTGGCTGAGTCCCTGGTGGCTGCCTGGAATAAAGCGGCATCTGGGGCACTGGACTGGATTGCGCCTTTGTGACCTCTCAATGGCGGTGGATTCAGGAAAGCTCCCTGGTTTACCGAGGAGCTCCGGGAGATGAAGCGCCAGAAGAGACGTCTAGAGCGACGCTGGAGGACCAGTAACTCCAAATCTGACCGAACACTCTTAAGAGCCTTTATTAGGACTTATTTAGTGGCAATACGGGCGGCAAAATGTTCACATTTTTCCGTACTTATTGCATCCGCTGATTCGCGCCCAGCTGCCCTATTTAGGGTGACTTGCTCCCTCCTTAATGCAGGGGGAGTGGAGGAGCCCTTGCAGGGTAGAGCTGAGGAGTTTGTGCAGTTTCTGTTGGATAAAGTCACTCAGATTCGGATGGACCTGGACTCTGATTGGGCAATTATGACCGAGATGACGGGGGCAGGTCTTAGTCCTATTGTGTGGGATGAATTTGAGCCTGTGACTCCTGAGGAAGTGGACAAGGCTGTAGGAGCGATGAGTTCCTCCACTTGTTTGTTGGACCCGTGCCCCTCCTGGCTGGTTTTGGCCAGCAGGGTGGCGACATGAGGCTGGCTCCAGGCTTTAGTTAATGCGTCCTTGAGGGAAGGGGCCTTCCCGCAACCATTAAAGGAAGCGGTTGTAAGGCCCCTCCTCAAGAAGCCTTCCCTGGATCCAGCAGAATTAAAGAACTTTCATCTAGTCTCCAACCTAACCCTTTGTGGGAAAGGTTGTAGAGAAAGTGGTGGCACTTCAGCTCCTGTGGTTATTGGAGGAAACGGATTATCTAGACCCTTTTCAGTCTGGCTTCAGCACGGAAACTGCCTTGGTCACGTTGATGGATGATCTCTGGCGAGCCCGAGATGAGGGTCATTCCTCCATCTTGGTGCTACTTGATCTCTCAGCGGCTTTCGATACCATTGACCATGGTATCCTTCTGGGACAACTAAGGGAGTTGGGAGTGGGAGGCACCATGTTGCGGTGGTTCTCCTCCTATCTCTCTGGTCGGTCACAATCGGTGTTGGTAGGAGGACAGAGGTCGACCCCTAGGCCCTCGTTTGCCGGGTGCCTTAGGGCTCGGTCCTCTCTCCCCTATTTAACATCTACATGAAGCCGCTGGGTGAGATCATCCGATGATACGGGGTGAGGTATCAGCAATATGTTGATGATACCCAGCTGTATATCTCTACCCCGTGTCAATTCAGTGAGGTGGTGGATGAACTGTGCCAGTGCCTGGAGGCTGTGAGGGTCTGGATGGGAGTCAACAGGCTCAGACTTAACCCAGACAAGACCGAGTGGCTGTGGGTATTGTCTCCTAAAGACTATGTTGATTGTCCATCCTTGGTTCTGGGGAGGGGGAGAAATTGTCCCCCTCAGAACAGGCTTGCAATTTGGGTGTCTTTCTAGATTCACAGCTAAGATTAGAGCAACATCTGTCAGCTGTGGCTAGGGGGACCTTTGCACAGGTTCGCCTGGTGCACCAATTGCGACCCTACTTGGATCAGGAGGCTCTCCTCACAGTCACTCATGCCCTTGTCACCTCACAGTTAGATTATTGCAACGTGCTCTACATGGGGCTACCCTTGAAAAATGTTCGGAGACTATAGTTGGTCCAGAACATAGCTGCGCGAGCTGTTGTGGGTGCACCTAGGTACACCCACATTACACCAATTCTCCGCGAGCTGCACTGGCTCCCTATTGGTCTCCAGTCACAATTCAAGGTATTGGTTATTACTTTTAAAGCCCTACATGGCTCAGGGCCAGGTTATCTTCGAGACCGCCTTCTACCGCATATCTCCCAGCGACCCGGGTCCTGCCAGCTAAACAATGCCGGCTGGCGGGCCTGTGGGGGAGGGACTGTGACTGCCCCAGCTCTCTGGAACCAGTTACCTCCTGAGATCCGGACCATCCCCATCCTATTGGCCTTCCAGCAGGCCTGGGCCGTTGATCTCGCTGTTGCGATCTGGCGAGATCTAGCCATGAATGGTGTGAATGGGTTTTAATGTTTTAATTTTTAATGTTTTTATATCTGGTTTTTAAATGAGTCTTCAGAGAAAGGCGGCATACAAATTGAACAAATAAATAAATAAATAAATAATGGGCTGAGTCCAGTGGCTGTCCCAAAGTACCTTTGAAGCAAACAAAGTGCAGAAAAGGGAAACATTAAGCATTCTCCCCCTTTTCTCATTTGTCCATTCTAAATTCCCTAAGCCAGTGATGGCTAACCTTTTTGCCATCGCGTGCCAGGAGAGGGGGGGCAGGGGAGGGTCGCGCGCACATGCCCATGTGCATGCATGCGCACCCCCTCCCCCCTCCCCCCCGCTCCTGGCACATGATGGCCTGGTAGGCCCGTTTTTCTTTCTTACCTGGTTCCAGATCCTCTCTGTGTATCTGGGAACGGCGAAAACAGCCTTTCCCACTCCCTTGGAGGCCTACGGAGGCTGAAAAGGCCCATTTCCCAACTCCCGGTGGGAGAGGAAGTGACATTTTTTGCTGTCCCCAGCCTCCAGAACCTCTCTAAGAGTCTCCAGGAGCCTCTCTAGAAGTCTGTAGGAGCCTCTGTAGGAGATTCTGGAGGCTGGGGACAGGAAAAAACGTCACTTCCTGTCCCACCGGGAGTGGGGAAATGAGCCCTTTGAGCCTCTGTAGGGCCTCCAAGGGCCTGGGAAAGGCTGTTTTCGCCGTTCCCAGATACACAGAGAGGATCTGGAGCCAGGTAAGAAAGAAAAACGGGCCTTCCCCACCCCCCCAGGCCCTCCAGAGGCAGGAAACAGCCTGTTTCCCTACTTCTGGTGGGCCCAGAAGGCCCGAAAATCAGCTGGCCGGCGTGTGCATGCGCCCCAGAGCTGAGCTGGCATGCCCACTAATATGGCTCCGCGTGCCATCACGGCCCTAAGTTATGGTTTTTGTACATACATGCGCATCAGGGGCGGGTTCTACTTACCTTTACTACCGGTTTGTAGTGGGGCCACGTGCGTGCACGAGTGAAGCAGAAAAGCGCATGTGCAGAAGCATTTTGATGACATCGGGGTCGGTGGGCAGAGCCTCCCACCAGTTTTACTACCGGTTCTATAGAACCGGTGCGAACCGGGGGCAACCCACCACTAATGTGCATATATTTGGTTTCATTTTAAAAGTATTTAAAAATCCACATAATTTTTAAAAATATTTTAAAAAGATAATAGCTAATATAAACTAATATAAAGTAAGAAAAAATCAAAGAGAAAGCTAAAAGTGCAAGAAAGGGAAAAAAATAAAATAGAAAAGAAAGAAGATACAAAGCAGCAGCTTCCAATCTTATTTACAAACATAAATTTACCAGTTATTTTATGGTTACAGCATAATTTCTTCTTTATATACTTTAAAGAAGGTGGTAGTCCTCAACTTATGACCATAATTGGGATCAGAATTTCTATTGTTAAGCAACATGATCATCAAGCAAAATGCCATGTGACTGTATTGCTTGACGACTGTAATCCCAGCACTCCTGTTTACTGTTGTAACTCCAGGGGTGTGTGTAGTTAATTAGGCTAAGGAAGTTGGCGTGCCACAGAAGGGTGGGCAGGCCCTGGGAGGCCCAGTGTAGACCACGTGTGAGTTAGGGGGATGCTATAGTTCAGCACAAGTGCAGGAAGGTCAGGAAAAAGATATGCTGCAGCTCAGGGGCTTCTTGGTGCGCTGCAGCTCTGTTTCATGCAAAAAGTCCATAAAGGGTGTCCAATCGGCAATAAACATAGACATTATCTTTTCTGTGATGAAAAAGTCAATTTAGCCATCTCAGCAAGTTCCATCAACTTTACCAATATTCTTTCATTGTGGATAATGCCAACACTTTCCACAAATTTTAGTTTACTCATATATTTTTTCACGTTTTTCTTTTTTCAAATTTCAGTAAAAGTTTATACCTTTTATATGTACACTGGCAGAATAAGCTACTGTATATAAACAGAGCAAAACCCACACTCACAAACACTGTTGATGTTACCTACTTGGGTAATAAAACATCTGCAAGCAAATCACCAAGGTCAGAGAGCACCAAGAACTCCACAGGTCAACCTGGAGCTACAGAAATTCTATTATACATTTTAGCAATTGCATGGTCATCATTGTACACAATTCTATTTCAAACTCAATCTTACAATGTTCAAAACCACACATTCTTTTGTCTACTTTAAACCCTTTTAATAATTGAAAATAAAGTAACCACTAACAAATGTAATCCTTTGCCAATTCTTCTCTTGATTTTACATTTTCCTTGACAAAATTCTATTATCTCATGATAAATTATCCATTTGTGTTTGCCTATTCTAGTTCTTGTCAGAAAATTGTGTTTCTGACTGGGCAACGTTCATGTATTGCAAATGTCTTTTCCTCAAACTCTTTCTATGGAAGATAAAATATGGGATGAAAAACATATTTAAATTTGAGTTAATGACCTGCCACTGTTAGCATATGAATTTTATGAACCTTTACAATAGCAAACTTAAGAACTAGACAGTCCCGAAAGATTGCTTCCAATATGGTCCCATGTTTCTGCTTCATTTCTCCAGTGCATTATTTTTCTAGCAGTTTTGGTGCTATGTTGGACTGAAACCACATGAAACTGAAGATAACTCCCATAGTTTTAGGGAAAGTCTCATCAAATGCAAATTTCATGGAATCTTGCACAGGTATTTCCACAACTTCAATCAGTTCGCCTTCCTCTGGCTGGCCGCCTCCTTCACTAGATTTCATGTCATCAGTTACCTGTGCATAAAATAATGTCTGCTTTGATCCTGTCACACCAACTCCAGATCTTGTCGGATGAAAAAGAAATAACAAAGAATGTAAGATTAAGTAAACCTTCGATTTACACATATACATAATATTTGCTTTCCAGAAATTGTGATGAATAAGTTAGTACAGTGATGGCTAACCTTTTTGTTGTTGTGTGCTGAAAGCGCCTGCGTGCCCGCACCCATAATGCAATGCTCTCGCCCCCCTGTGCATGTGCGCATGACCCCCCATGCTCCCCCCACTCACCTCCACATGCGCAAGTGATTCCTGCACTCTGCCCGTGCCCCATTTTGGGCCTAGTAGGCCTCCCTGCAGCCTCCTGGGAGCAAAAACAGGCCGTCGGAGGGAGGGGCCGTTTTGGGCCTAATAGGCCTCCCTGCACTTATAACCCATAATGCAATGCGCACGCACCCCCCGCACATGCATATGCAACCCCCGTGCTCCCACACTTCCATGCATGCGTGTACGTCTCCCGCATGCGCTCCATCCCCCGTGGCAGAGACCCAAAAATCAGCTGCCTAGTGGGAGGCACGCGTGCATGTGCGGTGAAGCTGAGCTGGGGCCATAGGTTGCATCATAGGTTCGCCATCACGGAGTTAGAACAAGAAAATAAAAGCAAAGGAAAACATTGTAACTACAGTATATCCATTTCATTAACAAATATGTCATACACAAACAATACATATTTTATATCATGGATGTTTTAATACTTTTATTGTAAACATTCTGTCCAGAATTGTGTTATGTACCACCAAGATTCTTTTGACTGTGGCAGAATAGAAGACAATGCTCTGCTATATATATATATATATGTTGCCCTTTGTTCTTTAAACTTCTCAACTCTCACTTTGGAAGATCTGATAAACAGCATGCAATCACAAATCCTCTTGATGCCGTAACTCTTCTTTCATATATTTGTTTTGCAATTTGATCCTTGTTCATTCTCTCTACATGAGCAAACCACTTTAACATATTGCTGTTGTAACATACTGCCACTCACTTTTGTATTCTATCTACATTCATTCATCAAGTATTCATGCTTGTTTTACTACTAACACTCTAAGTACCCCGTTTTTCCTGCATTCAAATTACTTTGACATTGCAAGTTTCACTTCCGTTTAACGAAGTGGGTAGATATATACTACATTTCATTTTTTGGGGGCAAGTATTCAATCCTTGCAATAGATCACATACACTACTATCTACTATTTTTCTACCAGCATGTGCATGTTTTAATTTTTCCCATTCATTTTCCATGGTTAGTAAATATTATTCTGTGTTACACAAATTCATCTTTGCAATCCTACATTTCATTTTCTCACAGATCCTGATCTGTGATACATTTATTTTCAGGTTCTTACCTCATTACATCATACCATCCAATTTCACTACAAACAATCTGGGGTCTCAGCCAACAACGTTGTTTTGATTCCATACAAAAGTACATCTACATTAATGTTCTCAACCAATACATCTGTTGTCACTGCAAGTATCCTTTATACATTTATTAATAAACACCTTAAACAAATGGATATCACATATCTTTGCCTTACTCCTTGCAGTTATAAACCACTTGGTAAACAACCCTTTTATTCTGACACATACTTCTATTTACTTCATAGTGTGCTCTTACTACATTCAACAACTAGTCTTGAAGTCCAAGTTTGTACAAAATATTCTCTAAGTCAAACATATTCAGTTGATTATATGCTTTTTCTAAAGCAATACAATTTATCACTTCTCATATTAGAGCATTTTTAATTTATTTTTTATTTTAATCAACATAAATATTATTTTACTTATAGTCCATTGTTAATAATAACACTAATACTAATATGATGATGATAATAATAATAATAATAATAATAATAATAATCATAATCATAATCATAATAATTTTTAAATGTTCAGTTAACTGAGTTTCATGTTTAATGAATAAAAGAGATAATAATAATAAATTGTTTACTTATATATAATCATGATCTTTCATTATTTACTTGTATCTAGTAGTAATCTTTCATATTAAAATATTTTTCAAGGACTTTTTGAAGAGCAAACATCTATCTTTCACATCCTTTGTTTGGTATAAAACCAGACTATATTTTTGAATTACTTATGTTTACTTTTTCAATCAGAATTCAGCCAAATAATTGCCAGGACATTTAATTTATTAAATATGTCATAGCTGCCCACACCATTAGACTCTGGACAGCTTATAAAATCCAGAAAACAATAAAAACAATTTTAAACATACATAAATAGGCAGCCTGACCTAAAAAAACCCAATAAATCATATAACAGGGGGTCCATAAATACATCAATAAACACATTAACCTCATTAATTTAACAGATTAATATCCCTGTACCTTTTGCATTAACTTTTCTAGTTCATTTCACTCAGGATGGTTACAAGCACAGGTGACAACTGACCCTAATTAGTTGGCCACTTGGGAGTTTGGTTCTTCCAAGGAATGAGAATGTTATTTTCATCTCTTGTCCTGGTTACCTGCAGTGCTTCCTTTAGTTCAGGGCTGTCAAACTCATGGCCTGCAGGCTGGATGCATCACATGCTACCACGCCCGATTTAGCAAAGGGGAAAAAAAAGTCATGATACATCACGTGACAACGCTATGACAACGCGAGTCTGACACCCTTTGTGTCTAGCCCCTTTGTGAACTATTAGGGTGGTTAAAAGCTTGCTTTAAGATGCCTACATAATTATATCGTGTAGGCATCTTAAAACAAGCTTTTATAATCTTTTTCAGAGCCATCAGTATAGATAAATGGAGCTATTTAAAAATGATGAACAAAGGGGAAGGCTGCACATCATTCCTTTCCAAGTTGTGCAAAACCTTCTACTTCACTTTTCATGAAAGGAAAAATGCTACTCTTCCAAATCAGGCACAGATGCAATCTTAACACATGGTAATTCCAAAGCAAACTCATCCCCATTAATATTTCTTCCGTTATACTGGCTACACCTGCAACCTTATTGGGGGCTTTAAAACACATTTCAAAATGTATGTATGTATGTATGTATGTATGTATGTATGTATGTACGTACTTACTTACTTACTTACTTACTTACTTATTTATTTATTTAAATTTATATACCACCTTTCTCCCGAAGGACTCAGGGCGGTGAACAGCCAAAGGTAAACACATAGAATGCAAAAATTTAAGAACAGTTTAAAAAACATATTAAACAATTTTGGCCCAACAATTAAAATACCCCTTTTAAAATTCAAATTAAAATTAAGCAATTGGAGGAGTTAGGCCAGCCCGGCTTGTTGAAATAAAAAAGTCTTGAGGGCCCGGCGGAAAGTACGTAAATCCGGAATCCTCCGTATTTCCGGGGGGAGCTCGTTCCAGAGGGCAGGTGCTCCCACAGAGAAAGCTCTCCCCCTGGGGGCCGCCAGTCGACATTGTTTGACCAACGGCACCCTGAGGAGCCCCTCTCTGTGGGAGCGTACTGGCCGATGGGAGGCTCTCGGTGGCAGAAGGCGGTCTCGTAGGTATCCAGGTCCTAAAGCATGGAGCGTTCTAAAGGTGGTCACCAACACCTTGAATCGCACCTAGAGGACCACCGGAAGTCAATGCAGCTCGCGCAGAAGAGGTGTTACATGGGAGCGCCATGACGCTCCCACAATCACCCGCGCGGCCGCATTCTGGACCAGTAGGAGCCTCCAGGTGCTCTTCAAGGGGAGCCCCATGTAGAGAGCATTACAGTAGTCCAGGTGGGAAGTGATGCGGGCATGAGTGACCGTGCGCAAGGAGTCCCGATCCAGAAAGGGACGCAACTGGCGATTCAGGCGAACCTGATAGAAGGCCCCCCGGCCACGGCCTTCACATGTTCTTCTAAGGACAGCCATGCATCCAGGAGGACACCCAAGTTGCGAGCCCTCTCCATGGGGGCCAACGACTCGCCCCCAATAGTCAGAGACGGCGCCAGCTGACTATATTGGGACACCGGGAGGCACAGCCACTCGGTCTTGGAAGGGTTGAGCTTGAGCCTGTTCCTCCCCATCCAGATCCGCACAGCCTCCAGACACTGGGACATCACGTCACGTATTATTCACGTACTATTCCCTATCATTTTTCTTTGCACACTAACATTATCATTTCTTTTAATTCCATTTTTTAATCATTCCCATACAAATCCTCCTTCCAAGATTAACTACAAACCCAAATAACTTAATCACAGAGGGCCTTCTCTGTGGGGGCACCCACCCTCTGGAATCAGTTGCCCCCAGAGATAAGGAGAATCCATGACCTCAGTGCCTTCCGCCGTGCCCTTAAAACCTTCTTTTTCCAACAAGCCGGGCTGGCCTAATTCTTTTTAAGTGTTTTTAATTGTTTTGTTTATCGTTTTAATCAATGGGGCCAAATTTATATATATATTTTAACTGTATTTTAATATTTGTATTTGATGTTTTTATTTGGCTGTTCATCGCCCTGAGTCCTCAGGGAGAAGGGCGGTATACAAATTCAAAATAAAAATAAAAATAAAAATAAAAACTTTCATTCTTAATTCTATTTACTACCTTGAAAGTTTGTTTTACCCACTTTCAAATCAGTTTTAACAACTCCCTAAAATCATTCTGTATTCTGCCTTTTCAATCTTAATCATTCTTTGCTCTTTAATTACATTCTTTACAATGACTTTTTCATTTCTCTAATGAAATGACATATCTTTTTCTTGCCTTCAGTTTTTGCAGCAAATCTTTCTCATATACTTTTAATCAATTTCATTTCTTTTTCTCAGCCCCAACTTCTTTCACTTGATCATTCTACAAAACATCTTTTTTTCATATTTTTCATTAGTAAAGTCTACTCATTTATGTGTGACATTTTGTAACATAATTTAATTTATTCCTTCTCAAGTAACTTCCTTACCCTTTTTCCTTATGTCTTTCTATTACTTCTAAGGTGAGAATCAATGTTCTAACACTTTTTCATATAAGACCTTTTCCTTTTTCCTCCAATCTCTTATAAGCAGCTCCCAGCATAACAACAGAA